GGATATACTTTCAAGGAGAAGTATAAGCCTACCTGATCCACTATAGTGACTCAGTGGGGGGAAAAAAAGAGTAGATTAAAAGCAAATGGGTTTAACTGACCTGTATATTTAAAAATAGTTAAAACGGTAAATTTTAAATTATGTTTTATTTTACCACAATGATTAAAAAAAAACCCAGAAAAAAAAAAAAAACCAAAGGAATTAACAGAAAGTAGGCAGTCATTTGGATCAGGTAACCTTAGGGTAATTCTTGGCAGGCTGTTCTTTCTCTTCTATGATCCCAGCAAAGCACAGCCCATCACACAGGTGACTGAATACTGCAGTGAGTCTTTGAGTCTTTCACTTCATGCTGCATGCTCCACAACAGCTAATGAGGCAGAAACACTACGCTCTGAGAACTACACTAAAGCTATAAAATAAAAAAAGGTCCTTGAAAGCAGTCTGAAGGGACAACCTATGCAATAATGGCTCCCGAATCCAGCTCTAGTCCAGATCATTCTCCAAAATTCCACTCTGTATTTCCAACTGCTTATCCCTATGCACACACTCTACATGTCCAAAACTCACCTCCTTCTACATTTCCGCAAACCACTTACCCTTCCAGCATGTGCCCTGTCTCCATCAGTGGCACCACTACCGACTAGACTGCATATCTAAAATAGGGAGTGAGAGGACTGTAGCTTCCTAACTCAGCACTAGAGGAAGCAGAATGCTAAACTGTTTGCTCGGAGCCTGAAAAATGGATTAGACCACATTCTGTTGGCAGGTGAGGTTACTATGTCCTACAGGTCCATGTTCTCAGCAACAACTTCTTCTGCTGTTTCCAATTCCACGCAACAAAGGGGGAACTGACCATTCCTTGAGGCCTTGCCTTCTTCCTTTCCCTCCTGGGTTCAATGCTCCCACTGTGTAATCTTAGACAAGTTATTTAACATTACCTCTGTGCCTCATTTCCTTATCTCTAAAATGGGAATACGAATAGTATCTACTTCTCTTAGCAGGTATGAAAATTAAATCTGTGTCGAGTGCAGAGAACAGTACCCAGTTCACAGTAAGTAGTAATGATGATCAGGGGTAAGTTGTAGGAGATGTCTGTATCTTCTACTTTACACAGTGTGCACCCCTGTTAGGATCATCCAGCTTCCTTTCTGTCCTGACTTCTGTAAGATGCTCTGGGCTTTTCTCACAAATACCTCTCCCTGGGTCAGAATAAAGTCAGACCATCCAAGATGGGAAGAACATTTTGGTGGCCCACGCTTCATTCTGTAAGTCGTGTTTACAGAGGAATGATTTATTGTGCATAATCAAGTGACTGCCTGGCTACTAACAAAGTAGTACTCTGTTTACAGAAACTGTACGAGGAGCTGGAGTAGGATATGAGCTGAAAAAGCTTACCCTGAACCGGTAACACAAGAATCTCTTTCATTGTCCTTCATCAGTTTCCTACTTGCCTGCAACACTGATGACACCAAATATTACTGATCGCACTTCTTCAATCTCTCTCCTGCTCTCCTCTACTACTTATTTTGGGTTATTCACCTCTTATCTGAACTATTGCATCAGCCTCCAAAGTAGTGGCCCCAAATTTCTTCCCTCTCTACAATGGCTTTATATTTATACTGGCTACCAGGGACATCTTTCTAAACCCAGTTATAACATTTCTTGCTTAAAACTCTTCAGTGGTTTATCAGTGGCTACAACAGTGGGTCTCAACCTTGGTAGAACATTAGAATCACAGAGATTAAATCAGATACACCGAGGTGAGGCCCATGAACAAGTATTTTCTTTATTCCAGCTAATCCTAATATGTAGTTAGTGTTGAGAACCACTTGTTTTCTACCTTAATGGAAAACAGAACGTTAGAAGTACAATTTCTTAGAACAGGGTAAGCATATGTCCAATAATTTCAAAACACTGAATAAGTTCAAATGTGGAAGATGATACCTCTCAAGAAGGCTGAGAGCAATTTACATCAAAAAATACCCTAAGTTCTAGACAAATCAAGCATGGAAAAACTTTGAAAGTAAGGGAAGAAATAAAAGTACAAGCATTTATGATGGGATAAACATGTGTAAATAACAAGATTTAATAATGAAGATGGATAAAAGATGACAAGATCTTAAAATATTTCAGAACTAGAGGAGAGACAAGCAAGCAGTGAGCAAAGAACTGCCAGTGTAACTGAGCAGGACCCTATGGGGTCTTCCGGGGACAGACCCTTCTCCTATATCCTCTGCTCTGGCTCCTCTCTGAAGTACCTAGATGATAGTATCTCAGGCATATTTCCTGAGTTTTTCAGATGCTAAAAACCACCACCAAATGGAAGAAATTAACTGCTTGATGATGGAGAGCACGCAGCCCCCAGATCTTCTGGCATCTAGGGACTTACAGTGTCAACTGTCCTGTTACCTCCACATCAGCAAATCAGAGAATTGTGCAGAGCTGATCACGTACCCTGCAACCCCTCTGCCTCACCTGGCCTTTAAATATGCTTGGCTGAAATCCTTCAGGGAGTTCGGGGTTTTCTTGGGCATGAGCCACCTCGTCCCCCTTGCTTGGCCCTGCAATAAATATTTCTCTGCCCCAAACTCCAATGTTTCAGTTTGTCTGGCCTCACTGTGTGTTGGGCACATGAATTTGTGTTCGGTAACACCAGGAAGGGCAGTGAGTAAAGATGTGGCTCGAATATTAGGCTGCAAGACAGCTGAAAAAGATGACTATAAAAGCGGCAGCCACTAGGCGACGAGGTGAAAAGATAAGCAGGAAGTTCCGGTTCCTATTCTATCTTTGCCTCTCATGGGCAGCAGTGTATTCTTAGACAAGCTGATACTTAACCTCAGTATAGTTGCCTGTAAACTGGGGATAAAACTCATTTCATAGGGTAATGGGGAGAATTTAGTGAGATAAATACACATATGAAAGCAACAAGTCCAGGATAATGCTCAAAAAATAGTTTTTGATTGTTTCTATTAAAGGTACTGCAGAATGAAATCCAAAGGCAAAAAAAAAACCCAAAAAAACAAAAAACCAACTTTTTTTTAAACCATACAAAACAAATACACAGGAGACAAAAAAGCTTTGTTCTATATGGCAGGCAACAGAACTTCAAGATTTCTCCAGTTTCCACATGGCAAAATTTGATGTTAGCTCAACTCCAAGAAGGTAATCCATGAAAAGAATTATTCCAAAACAAATAGTGCTATGACTGCATTTAAAAGTACACAAGTACACACAGTGGGTCTTAATTACCATCACGCTGAAATCAGCATTATATTAATTACCATTGCATCAAAACACTGCAGTAAACAAACAGCTCCTCACTCTCCAGTCACTCCCAAATCAGTCTGTTAGCATTAATGCTTGCACTTTTCTGAGCTATTTTAGCACAAAAAATCAAAAGCACCTTGGGTGGCAGGTACGGGTTTTTATAAACATAATTTTGAAAGGTCAGCTGCTATTTGTCCCAGGGTGATATTCAGGGGGATAGAGAAAGGTTGTGGACTGGTTCTGTTAGAAAAGAATGCTCTCTACACTCTGCAATGCTGTGTTGCTACTCCATTAAACCAAGTAGAAACTCTTGAACAACATTCTACAAGTCTTAAGTTAAGAAATGGGTATTTTGACGTTTTCTGAATATCCTAGGTTTAGTGTTATCTTTAAAACTAACACTCTTTATTTTACTGGATTTGTATATCTCATCAAGGTTCACTGCTTTCTTTTCCTTGATTCAGAAACTGGACTGGTACCTACACTTAAGCCCATTAACCATGATTAGGACTGTGCTATGATTCTCAAATGGCATTTACAAGGTGCAGAGAGACAGAGTAGGATAATAAAAGTGATAATAAATAAAAAATAATAAGATTCCTTACAATAAGAGGTATGGGGAAGAGGAGGTTAAATACACTTGAGTGGAAAAAAAAGGCTGCCTGAGATAGCATAATTGTGTTTTGAGCTGCAAAGACTAAGAAAGAGAGAACAATACCGTCTGCACAATCCCCTTGAGGGAGACGAAACAAGGCTGGCAGGAAAGAGCACTGGCCTGGAAGCTAAGAGACCTGTTTCCCAGCTCTGCCATTAACTAGCAGTGTGGCCTTGAGATGGTCATTTTCATCCCTGAGGTTTAATGTTCTTAATGTGTAAAGTGAGGGTGATAGACCAGGTGAGGATTTCTAAGTCCTTTCTAGCTCAGAATATCAGCTAGCTCTCAAACAGCTGTTTTCTACCTTTTCTTCCAGCCCAGCACTGGCAGTGACACTAAAGTCCCTGAAGCCTGTGTCAGAAACTCCCGCAGGGCAGAGTGGGGATGTGATCTGAATAAGCACTGCCTCAACACTTTGCACCAGGGACTCTGCTCCTTCATCTTCCACACCCATTGGAAAATCACCAGCTCCCTTGATCTCTGACTGAGAGATGCCACTTACTACAATAGTCACAGCAGGCAGCAGGAGCCTCGTATAGGCAGAAGGAGGAAGAAGCAATGAGCAACCAGCCCCCCCTAGAAGAACTCAAAAACATCAGAACTGGAGGCATTGTAGATACCATCTAGCAAAGCCTCTAATTTTACAGAAAGGAACACCAAGTCCCTGAAAGGAAATTCACTGGCAGGTTTGTGTGACTGGGTTGGATAAACAAACACTCAGGGCTTGACCCCATGACCACTGCTCTGCTTACCATGCCATCAAGATCATAGTTCACGGATATTTACAGCAAATGACCTTGCTTTCTGAAATGATCTAGCCAAAAAGACAGAGTTTCAATTATTCCTTCATTTTTAATCCCAGTTTTCAAGCAGATCAAAAAACAAACAAAAAAATCAAGGGGTACTAAATACCACTTAACTGCTTCCTTCAATGGTATCCTAGGGCTTCCAGTTATAAGCAATTCAAGAGGGGTTAAAAACCAATGAATGAATGGATGACAAGCTCCCTCTTTAAAACAACTCCCTATTATCCCCTTGGATCATGAGTTCAGGTTCTCATGACTTGTGAGTTTCTTACCATTCCAATGCAGAAGAGGATAAAAAGCAGCAGCCACGGTATGTCTGTACAGCTACGGTCCTCCAGTGGCTTCCATTCTCGTTTGGAGCTCTAATTGAAAATACAAAATAAGCGAGTGGTAAATGTGAATTTCAGTTAAAGTTAGGAAGGCAAAAACACACCACCGACACCTAGATCTCTTCTTTGATAAGTTCCATCTGAACCTTTAAGATACAACTCAAGTGTCTGTCCCCTTTCTGTGAATTTTACCTTAACACCCACCTCTCTTCGTGGCCAGGCAGAGCACTGATTCCAATGCTTTTTTGGTATCTCTGTTAGAGCAGTTAGCATGCTGAATTATTATTGATTGGGCTGTGTCCCCAGCAGATCATGAGCTTCACAAGGGAAGAGACTACTTCTCATTTCCCAGCGTCTAACCTGATGCCTGAGGGTTTACAGTACATACTAAGTAAGGGCTTTTTAAAATGAATAAACAAACGAACAAATCCCTCCAACATCAATCTCAGTGGTAGCTTTTTCTTTGTGTGTCCAGATGTTAGATTAAAAATGTAGAATGTGCTTTCTATATGCTCTCATCTAGGAAGGAAGCCCACTGAAATGAATTCTTATGGATAGATTCTTCTAAGTCTAGTAAAAATTCAGGAACGAAAAACTAAATTAAAACAGACAGATCTGGGTACTCCTAAACCACCATCCACAGATTTTCATCCTGTTTCTAGAAACTGTAAAGAGTTTCTAGATCAAACACAGAGATATCCTAACTAAAGAACTAGAGACATTCTCAAAGTTAACTTGCAAAGCACTGATTGGGATTCTGAGTGTATTTTTTTTCGTAGGGCAATAGTCTTAGATTCTCAAGTCAGCTCACAAATTCCTTTTAAACAGAATGTAACTGAAATAACACTCTTGAGCTTTCTAATGAACAAAAATCCCTGAGTCTCACACCCTTTCCAGGAAACAGTAAGCAGAGAACGGACAGAGAAGGTAGTCTTGGGAAACTTATGGGAAAAGTTTCTGTGAAAAGAAGGTTGGGGCCTCCAGTGGCTTCTAGGACAAGATCCAGGAAGCTATCTAGAGAAGGCTTGTCAGTAGGAAGTGCACCGGCAGAAGGGGGCTAGAGAAAAGGGAGCCCTCTAGTATAATTAGTACTTAGAGTTCAAGAGTGGGGACCCAGTTCTCAATCTTTCCCTCCCTCTAAAACAATAGTTTCTAACTATGTACCCTTTGACAACCTGATGAAAGCTACAGATTCTTTTTTTAGGAGATAAGTGCACAGTTGCATAATTTTCAAGAAAGTTTAGGGAATGCAGACCCCAGGTTAAGAAACTCAACTTTAAAATGCATTTAAAATATCAACATTGAGGGCAAAGAGTTGGAGCTACAATCACTCCTTCCTGACCCTTAAATGTTAACAAAACACCGTGTCCTCAGTTACACTGTTAGTTGTTCATCAACAACCACCAAAAAAACACCCCACCATCCTTGTAGCTTGTTCCCAGACACCCACACAAGAAAACAAAAGAGCACTAGTTAGTCATGGAAAAAACCATACCCCAAGACTCTAATTAGCATTAAAAACCAAGAGTGAGTAGGCAGTTTTTCCTAAAGGAATGTAATACTACGGCAAATGGATAAAGGACTCTGTCCTCCCCTTGGTCCTGTCATTAGTAATCCACATGACTTCAGATAAATCACTTCATCAGAAGTCAGGTTAAATCTCTTAGGTTTCTTCCAAATCTAAAAATCTGTGATCAGGGATGCAGTTTTGTGAAAATTTTTGCTATGACAAAAAAAACGCAAAAAATAATTTGACATTATTCCCTGTGTTATTCAAATAAGAATGCCTGTATTGTGGTCTGTGTTTTGGAAGACAGTTGCACACAGTATGAATAAAGAATATTTTCTTTGTATTAAATAATTTCAGTCTTGAATAATACCCATTACAGTAAAATTACTTACAAACACAGAATTTGGACATCTCTTTGAAATTCATTACATTTACTCTAAGGTGATTTCTAGAGCAACAAACTATGTTTGTTTATTTTAAAAAACAGTATGTATTAGGGGAAGGGGGAAGCAGTCTCAGACTGAGCATTTTCTTTATTCACAACTATTTTCTTAGTATTTTCACCTCAGAACAACATTCAGCTTTTAATACTTAAATTTTCACCTATAAGGTAAAGAAAGCAGAATTTCATTTTGACCAGAAAAACACAAAAGATTCAATATCTCAACAATTCAATGTCCTGTGGTCCACTTCTGGGCCAAATACATAGAAAATCTTTCACTGAGGGTGAGAAGTAGGGAGCGGATAGGAGTTACAAATAAAAAACAGTGACATAAAATGTAAAAGAATCTGAAAACGTGTGTGTGTATGTATAACTGAGTTGCTTTGCTGTATAACTGAAACTAATACTGTAAATCAACTATACTTTAATAAAAAATAAATTTAAAAGAGTACAAAATATGTAATATGATGAGTTTTGACTACAATAATATATACAGTCATCATATATAGAATATTATCATTACCCCAAAAAGTTTCCTTGGGACACCTTGTACTCAACCTCCTCCCCCGACTTCCTGGCCTCTAAAAACCACCGATCTGCTTTCTACCCCTATTGCTTTGCCTTTTCTAGAATTTCATGTAAGGGGAATCATAAGGTATGAGTCCTTTGTATCTGACTTCTTAAATGTAATGCCTTTTCTTTTTTTTTTTGAGATGCATCCATTGTGAGACAGAAAATATATATTGATCTCTGCCCCTTACCTGTTAAGTGGTCTCTCTCCATTCCCCCCAACACTAGCCCCTGGCAGCCACCAAACTGTTAATGTCTCTATGGATCTATCTATTCTGAATATTTCGTATAAATGGAATCAGACCAAAAAAAAAAAAAAAGTACAAAGTTGAGGGGAAGAATACAAAGAAGGGGGTGGTCACCCTCACTTCTCATTCGAGGAGGGGCAGCTTACCTCATAGGTTGTTCTGAAGACTGAATGTGAGCATCTGTCACACAGTAAGCACTAATTCTTGGTTATTATTCTTATTCATCAATACTCACTTTTCAGGTAACCCTCTACCTATTGTTGAAATATGTGTTTACCAGGTGGACCTTTTCACTAAAAGAGTAAAGAGAATACTAAACTCGCCTTTCCCCTTCAGTTTACTAAAATTTCAACACAAAATGGTGGCATCTTTCATTTTAGCTACTGTTTTTAATGCTGTTGGTTATTGATTACTATTAACTAGGTATTATACCCGAAGCTTTACACACATCATGTCTTCTACGTTCAAAACAGTTCTCTGATGGAGGTATCCTGATTGCACAGCTAAGGAAACTCAGGCTCAAAAGTTAAATAATCAGCCCAAGGTTTCACAACTGTGCAATCAGGATTTGAACCCAAGTCTATGACTACAGAGCCAAATTCGATGACAATATCATTCGTTTTGCACTAGTCAGTAAAGAGCAAAAAAATCTCCATTAGTTTTTCCTCACGCTGCAAAATTTGGGAGCCAACCCAATAATTTAAAATCCTATAGGCACAGAGAAAAGAGTGAGATTTATTAGCCATGAAATTTCTCAAGCGAGTCAGGAAACTCAATAGTTGAAAAAATTTAATGTTTCTTTAACAGACTTAACCAAGTGGTAACTGGATTTAATGTTGCCTGTTTCTTCCAATTAAAATCCACACAGACCTAGAAAAAGTAAAATGTTTTACAAAATCACTTTTTAAATGTGATTTTTATCCCTTTCTCAAATTCTACATGAGATTAACACAGGCTGTCAATCAATGTTAGGTCCTTTCCCCTTCACAGAATCTTACAATATAAGACATAGGACCAAAGTAATCATACTGTCCAACCCTTTAATGCAACCCAGGGAAGGGAAAGGAAGGGACTTGCCCAAGGGATATCATTAGATCCTCAATTCTGTAAAATAAAAAAATATGTATATTATTGTTAATTATTATATATTCCTGTTGTTTCTGTTTTGTGAAAGAGAAAACCAAGGTTCAGAGACAGTAAGTGGAAAATCGACTACTGAAACCTGAGACAGCAAACTCTAGCACAGAGACAGAAACTGTAAGAGTTAAGGAAATGCTAAAAATAAAAAACATAGTAACAGAGATGAAGAATGCCTTTGTCAGGCTCATTAGTAGACTAAACATTGCCAAGAATCAATAAACTCAAGGATAGATCAATAGAAATTACCCAAAGTGAAACACAAAGAAGAGTGAAAATTAAAAAGCCAAAACAGAACATCCAAGAACTATAGGATAATATCAAATGGTCTAACATATGTATAATTGGAAACCCAGAAGAAGATAAATGGAGCAGGGGGAATATTAGAAGAAACAATGACTCACAATTTTCAAAAAAATAACAACAACAAAAAATCAAGGCACAGATCCAAGAAGCTCAAAGAATCCCAGGCAAGATAAATACAACACACACATGCATTCACATACACATACATACACACCCTACACATACCATATGCAAACTGTTGAAAACCAAAGATAGAGATCACCTTGATGGTAGCAAAAGGGAGGGAAAGACACCCTACATACAAAGAAGCAAAGATTAAGTAAACATCTTGTCAGAAACTATGCAAAGCCAAAAAACATGGAATGACATCTTTAAATTACTGAAATAATCAACCAGAGTTCTATTTAAAAATTTATTAACACAGAATTCTATATCCAGAGGAGATGTCTCTCAGGAATGAAGATTTTTTTTCAAACAAAACCTAAGAGAATTTATCAGCAGCAAACCTGAAGTACAAAAAAAAAAAAGTTAAAGTCCTTTGGGCAGAAAGAATATGATACCAAAGTTGGATATATACAAAGAAATAAAGACGTCTCCAAACAGGTAAAATGTAGTTTTGAAATTTTCCATAATAAAGTATTTTAAAAATAAGGGTGTGACTATATGTGTATAACAACATTCACATTACGCAGTCTTCTTGCACACTTTTATAAGATTAATAACCTAGAAGGCAGAATTACAATTTTTAATACTAGTACTGGCCCATAAAAAATAAATCTAAGCCTGACCACAGCTGATGTCTGCCTCATGTTTGTATTATATTCATATCTTTACAGTTAGGTAGGAACAATGTTTAACATCTTCACATTCCTTCCTATATTTTACACATCATAGATTTGAAAAAAAAAACGAAAAAACAAACTTCACAGTATCTCTTACAGAAGTCACAGTATGGGCAACTATGTTCTAGACTCTGCATTCACTATGAGCTAAAACCAAGGCCTTCTGGTGAATCTGATATGCTCTATGTAGGGTGTGTATTTTTTAGGAAATAAACCTATAAAAAGTTTTGTTCTAAATTTCCATGTTTTTCCTAATGAAGATATAGCAGTTGAGCAAATGTATTTGTAGATAATAGTCACAAACAGAGGTTTTGACAAGCAATATGTTACAGTCTGTCAAAGCAGGCATCCCTGGAGGGCATCAGCAGTAACAGGGTAGGCAGTGTGGGCCAAGCCAGGGGACCGATCAGGTAGGAAAAGGTCTGGCAGATGGGAATCTAGTTCAGAGTAGGCAGGGCTGGCTGCATTAGGAAGATATGAAAAGATCAAAAAGGCAACAGCAACAATCCAGAGTTTAGACAAAAAGAGTCAGCTAGCTCTTAAGTATGGAAACAAGTAGGGTCCAAAATCCAGGAAGTCAGAAGACATCTAGGTGATACCTAAAGGCAGAGATCGAATGCTCTCTGCTCTCCTTTTATACTCTGTGCACACTGTCTGTATGACTCTCTCCTAATTAAGACAGAAGTACAAAGATTCCCAAAAGATTCCAATCAAAATCTAGTCATCTATTGCCTAACGCTATGAGTCTTCCCTGGAAACACCAGATTTTTGTAAACATGATTTGAAAATAAGGAAAATGTTTTTTAAAAAATTGCTATAGTCACCTATACAAAGAAGTTACTTAATTTTTCAGGTAATACTCTTAGGCATCCTGTTGGTTCTTCAAACAAAGACTGAGCACCACACAAAGAACCAGAGATTCAAAGCCGGGTAAGACAGTCTATACCGTCATAGCTCCAGTTTAGCAAGAGAGACAAACTAAGGACTGATGAAGGCTGCCAAAAGAGAGATGTCTAGAAAGTACTGCAGGAGTAGAGATGGGGGTGGGGGACCATTAAGCAAATATTCGTAAGATTTGTTGAAATTACCTCATAAACTTCTGAAGGAAAGACTAAAAAATGATCCTCTGTTGTCTAAAATAGAATGTTTTGTGCTCAAAACATACTAAAAATTCTTGCTAGCTCTGATGGAGAAATATTGACTGCCAAATAAGAATTATTCCACTCAGAGATGTTTAGTAGTAAACAAACCGAACATTAAGTTGGTTTAAAAAAAGAAAAGTCAGCCATTTTTCTCACTTTGTATCCATTAACATTTCTTTATACTAGATTTTATGGCTGCTCCAGTTAGAAAGGGGCCTTTTAGTTTTGGAAAAGAGGAAACATATCTTCCTTTGTTTTCTGGCACAATTAGTGCAAGGCTATATTTACTAAGCTACTAGAGTAATATTTTCATGATGTCATTGGTGAGATCCCCACTAACACTGAGTTAAGTACTGTCTAGTCACATTTATCTAGAGCTGCTGTAGGCTGGAACTTCTGGTAGACTGCAGGCTCCCTTGTCATTCCCCCAGGGCAAGCCAGAGAACTGCATTCTCCTTCCTCCAAAGCAACAGTTAAGTGGCAGTCTGGGAGGCTGGTCCAAAGAAAGAAAAGTGGGGTATAGGCAGTGTTAACCCTGCAAATAAAGGACAAACCAGAGTTGATTCCAACACCACTTGGACAACAATTCACAACACACCTCTGTGTTTCTATCAGCTGAGAGGTATGCCACAAGCATTCATTACTGACAGTTAAGGACTGAGGCTTAGAAATGTAATCAAAATCCAGATTATCCTTATGAGGGCATCAACACATGTTTACGCCCCGACAGGCCAGCAATAAGGAGAGTTAAACTGTTAGGCCAGGAATTGCAATAAACTGAAGCGTACACCTAACAACGGGCGTACAAACGTCATCCTTCCATGCTCCTACATCTTCACAGCATTGATCCATCCGTGCTGCCTTTCCCAGATTCCAACGAAGCGCCAACTCTGTGTGTGAAGGCTAAAGCAAGCTAAGATGTGGTCTGTCACGCGGCAGATTCCCATAATGAATCCTTGAGAAATGTTTGTTAATTTGCTGATCAATCAAATCCCCTCCTCCCAGCTTTTTTTTTAAACATCACAGTATCTACTTCCTGCATAAAGAGACCACCTCCAAAACAGGCTCACAGTCCCAGGGGCTCTACTACAGTTTTCACTGTCCCAACCAAAGAGCCTCTATGGTAGTCACTGAACGCATTTCCAAGGTCACTGCCACACAGACATCTGTGATTTAAGTACACATGTCACAAGCATTGGACTATCTGTGAGGACTTTATTTTGTTCATGAGAATCTGTTTTATACAAAAACCTCCAGTATTAAAGACAAATAGTCACACACTCCAAATCTTCAAAGCTCTCTCCAAGGACATCCTGGTTCATTAAATTCCCCAATATGCTTTTATTTGCACATAGGGGTAACAAAAGAATAAAAGAGCTGATGTGTATCATTTGTGCCACAGTTTTCAACAGAGTGAGCAGAGCTGATGAAGTTGGGTAGCAATAAAACATGGAGGCTTTCAGCTTTCTGTTCACAGCACCTGAAAATAAAATCTTGTAATAGGATTTTGAAAGACATTGCCTGTCCTTTGGGAAAGCTCTCAAGGATTTGGAGTGCATAACTACTTACAGTTACCGTAAGTAATCCGTTTCATTTGCTAAGCCTGGTGATGGCAATTCATGTTTGAAAGGTAAAAATAAAAGCCTGATTTTAACAGGCTGTTAAAGGTAGTACGATACATTGAGTGGAAAGATACAGGCATCTGTGTCCAACAGCTTTTCTTAGTTCATGAACTTTATGCTAAATCACAAACATTCATCCGTTTAAGGAAAAAGGGGGAAATGGCAGCTAGAGCTGCTCTACTGTACACAGAGACAGGAAGATCAGGAGGAAATATGTTGCCAGTGACTTCATTGCTCCCCCGAATGCCCTAAAAAAAAATAAGTAACTGTGGGTCTGTTACAAGGAGGTGCTTCTTCCATCAGACTTCTCAGTAGCTGCCTTTCTTGTACATGAGCACATGATAATGACTGGGCAAAGGCCATGTTCCTCCTGCCCTGCAACATAGCTAACAGCATCTTTTACCTCCATCATCAGTGAAACACAAACAAAATTATACAGACAAGCCTTGTCTGTAATCCTCAAATAGTATTTCTAACTTGTCTTTTTTCTGAATCAGTGGTAAGCAATGTTTTCAATTTAAAATTACTACTTAGGTTTTTTTTTTTTTTAATTATACAGTTTTTATGGGCTTCATTTCCTCCCATAACTTAAAAGTGTCAGAACATCTTCAGGACTTGATGATACCAAGGGCAAACTGACAGGATTCTAAGCTGTACCTTGTACCTCCCACCTGCTACCGTGCAGCCAGTTTTTGGATAGCTAATGGATTTACTGACTTTTCTCACTATGTGGTAACCATTTCTTTTAAAATAGGAATTCATAGGCACTCAAAATAGGATTCTCATTCCAACCTTGCTTCCTTCCCTTGACAAAATGGCTAAGAACTGACTTGTGGAAAGTATGATGACTTATGGAGAAGAAGCATGAAGACTACACTGATCATATCATAGCTAATGGGTGAGTGGAAATGAGCAAATGTATGTCTTAAACAAAAATTAGATATTGCCTTTGCCAACAAAGATGTTTTTCGTCCACAACAATTATGCACAGAAATAAACATATGTTCAGTTCTGTGGCAGTGCCTAGGAACTCTTAAGGGAACAAATTCCTATTACAGTTAAATAATTTATGAAAATATAGATTACATTCCCTTTTTGTGTTTCTATAGCACACTATGTACAAACCACCATCATGATAATTATCATTTCACATTATAATTATTTGCTTCCCCAGCAGATTACAAATTTTTTGAGGGTAAAGGATGTTTCTATTTTTTGTTTAAATCAGGGATCAGATTACCTATCCCCCCCAAAAAAATCAAGGATCAGCAGTGTTAAAGTAAGCACTTAAAATTCTTCAAATGAAAGCCTATTTCACACAAAACAACGCATACAGAATCTTCCCCTAAGTGGATGAACGTATAACATCCATTCTTCCCACCTACTGCCTGCTTCGGGGCAGCGACTTGCTGGTTTTATTCGCTGCTATATTCTTAAGTAGATGAACACTGCCTGGAGCACACAGTAGGCTCTCAGTAAATTTATTTAATGGGTGAATGAACAAGGCTAGGTCTTTTACCATTCGAGTAGCATAATGTTAGAGCAAACATCCTCACTGCCTCTCCTGTATGAGATCATTTCCCCATTGCATCACAGGCTGGCTCCTTTTTCCCACAGATATTACAGAGAAGGGCATTTCCCAGAGATGTTTGTCAATAGGTTTTATGGGAAAAATAAATTCCAGATCTAAATAAGTTTTTTTTGGAAATTCTAGTTAACAAAGTCTAGTCTTTCAAGCAAGACTTCTCTGAGACCTTATTGTGAGACTCTCCAAAACCTATTTAGTCACATACCCAGTAGGAGCCATGAATATAAACAGGGCCAAGCTCTCTCACAGTACATTTCTGGAAACCAAAGTATAAGGGTTCACAGTTAGGACTGATGCTACCACTGAAAGACACTTTCAGAAGTAAAGGTGGTCAATCCTACTCCAGGGCATGTATCTGGAGGAAACTCTAATTTGATAAGATACACACATCCCAATGTTCATAGCAGCACTATTTACAATAGCCAAGACATGGAAGCAACCTAAATGTCCATCAACAGATGACTGGATAAAGAAGTTGTGGTATGTGTGTATATGTACGTGTACACACACACACACACACTCACACACACTGGAATACTACTCAGCCATGAAAAAGACAATATTAATGCCATCTATGGCAACATGGATGGACCTGAAGATTATCATACCAAGTGAAATAAGTCAGACAGGGAAAGATAAATATCATTTGATATGACTTATATGATATGACTTATAAAACAAAACAAACAGACTCACAGATATAGAAAACAAACTTACAGTTACAAGGGCTGTAAGTTTACAAAACAGAAACAGACTCACAGACAAAACAGAAACAGACTCACAGACATAGAAAACAAACTTACAGTTACAAGGGCTGGGGGAAGGGGGGGAGGGATAAATTCAAAGTTAGGGATTTGCAGATACTAACTACTATATACAGACTAGATGAAGAACAAGGTCCTACTGTATAGCACAGGGAACTAATTTCAATATCCTGTAGCAACCTATAATGAAAAAGAATATATGTGTGTGTGTGTGTGTGTGTGTGTAACTGAATCACCATGCTGCACCTCAGAGACTAACACATTATAAATAGACTATACTTCAATTAAAAAAAAGAAGAAAAAGTGGTAGTAAAGGCTGGAAACACTGGTTGGTTAAGACTATGCTGATACTGAGAGCAATGTAAACTGGTTAGACACTTTTGGAAAGTAATTTGGTGATACATTTCAAAAACCCAAGGAAATAATCTAAAACATTAAAATAGCTGCAGATGAGATGTCCAATACAGTGCTATTATGAGACAAAATTAGAAATTAACTATCAAATAATAGAAAATAATTAAATATGAGAATGGAATATTAAGCAATCATAAGAATAATTATGAAGACCTTGCATAGTAACATACAAAAATGATTAAAAGTTGTGTTTAAAAACATGGTATGAAATTATATCACGCTCTGGTTATTTATAAAATAGTACATCAAATGCACAAGCTTTAGAAGGGGATTGTGCAATTTTTAAATAGTTAGATTTATAATGTATCTTTCTCATTTTGATTTCCATTAATGCTATAATTATGGAAGGAATAACCAAAAAAAGAGAAATATTCACTCCCATTTCTCCAGATTATGCTTTTTCTACTCCCTCAGTATAGCGTCAGCTATAAATAGCTGCAGTATCAAAACTACCAGAAAACATTCAAATCATTCTATCTGACACTTATTGACAGGAGATCAGAACATTTCAAACATCACTAGAAAGCTGTACACTGAAAATTGCCCAGGCAGGAGCAAGATTTCTCCTGAAGAATGGAGGAGAACTGGTACCTTCACAGAGAGGGAACAGTTTAACAAACGTTAGAGAGGAAATATATCCCTGTAGTGAGAGGGAGGACCACATACCTGGGTGGGAATCCTGGATCCTCTTCAAAATAAAGGAGTGTGATCAGCTAACCTGATCTTTCCAATTGTAAGGTGAAGATGACTCCCTACACCATGCACTGTTGTTTTCAGGATTAAGTGATGTTAAATAAAGCTCCTAACTAGAACCAGGCCCTAAACCATTGTTCATATCCTTTCCCAAAGGAGAGAATGAGAAAATTCTCCCCATGAAGCATCTTAAAAAGTGAATTCTCACAAATATTCATCTCTAACATTGAAAAGCTGCTCCCATCCTGTATACATTCTAAAGTGTGTGCTTGAAAAGTGAAAAATGAGTTGTAAAGGAAATACAACTGGGAGAAATTAATGAGTGCACAGTTTTATAGATAATCGAGGTAAATGTAAGAAACAAACGGTAACTTTCAAATGATAATACGCTAAGAGAAAGAAATGGTTTCCTGTACCTTAAATTTTTTAAAGGGAGTTGAAGAAAACATCAATTCTAAAACCCATAGTCAACCAAATTATTTCTTAAAAAGTCCAACCAGTCAGTAATTATTCCAACAAGAAAAGAACTATGTTGAAACTTAATAGAGCCCCTTAGTTTATTTTCAACTTTCTATATTTCTCCTCCTCTTGATAATTTACCTTTCTCATCTCTGGGTTCTCCACCTTTTCTCTCCTCCCTTCTATAAAAAAAAACAATTCATTTGAGTTCACATGTGAGGGTTGCTGAAATGACAGACAAAAATGCACATATGTTTATTGAAGGTGGAAAAAGGTCATGGATCAACCTTAAGAAGATTTCCAAAATAATCTGTTTCATTTGGAGTACTTAGTTAATGACTGTGTAACACTAAATGCAGACTATAGCTAATGTTACTGAGCATAATCCATGTGCCAGACACTTTACCCATATTAACCCATTTAATTTTCACAAGCCTATAAGGTTTATCCTATTAGTATTCCCATTTTACTGATGAGGAAACTAGACAAAGAGGGGTTAAGTAAATTGCCCAAATCATAAAGCCAATAAGCAGTAAAAAAAAAAAAAAAAAAGAAAAAGGCATGGATGTGAAGCAGGTAGTTGAGCCCTAAGGCCCATGATCACTCTGCTCTGCCTTATTTACTGTGGTTAACATATCCTGTGCGGACACTGTGGACTGATGTATGTGGAAGGGAGGAGAGAAATGAGAGACATTATAGTTGACCCTTGAACAAAGGGTAGGAGCACCTATCCCCATGCAGTCAAAAATCTGCATAGAACTTTACAGTCAGCCTCTGTATCCATGGTTCCTCCACATCCAAGATTCTGTACCCAAGGATGCAACCAACCACAGATCATTGTGGTATTTAATGCTGAAAAAATCCACAAATAAATGGACCCACACAGTTCAAACCTGTGTTGTTCAAGGGTCAAATGTACAGCAAAAATGCTGTACGTTCTGTGGCCTGTTTTATCTTAAATGATTTCTTGCACGGTTATTATTTCTTCTTACAGGAAAATTATAGGACATAACCAAGAATAACATATTATTAACATATTTTATGTTTTGATTTCAAAGATAATTTCCAAATGTCCAAATATTACTGTTGATATTTGAAGAAAACACCTGCAGTGGTGTTTAATAAGTGGAAACAAACTGTTGTTTCCTCCTGGCCTTCTGTAACTTCCATCTATACTTTGTGTAACATTTGTTTGGCTTTCAAGAGTAATAATACTTAAAATGCTACTTTGCTACTAAGAGATCATACAAATGCACATCAACTGATGAACAGATACATACAATGTGGCATATCCACAGCATGTAATGTACATTTTGAAATAAAAATGAAGTAGGGATACACCAGACAACATGGATAAACCTTGAAAACATTGTAAGTGAAAGAAGCCAGACATGAAACTCCACATATTATATAATTCCATTTATATGAAATGTCCAGAATAGGCAAATCTGTAGAGATAGGAAGCAGATTGGTGTTTGCCTAGGTTTGGGTGGGAGTTGAGGGGAAATGGGGAATGACTGCCAGTGGGTATGGGGTTTCTTTCTGCGTTGAGGAAATGTTCTAAAATTGACTGTAGTGATCCAAACTCTGTGAACATACTCAAAACCACTGAATACACTTTAGATGGGTAAATTGTATAGTATACGAATTACATCACAATAAAGTTGTTATATGTATAACAAAAATCACATGAAAAGGGGGGTCATTTTGGACACTTCACATGTGGAGTTCTGATTTCATGACAGAGCCCACATGAACACTTCTAATATTAGGTATACAACAAGATAAAGGCAGAATAGTTTATCTAAGGTAAAGAGATGAGTAATAATGAAATCTGATTTACATGAGAAATCAGAAGTTATAAGAATTACTGAAGTGCTGATTTTCATAGAATAGTTCAGTCCCTCCATAGGCAGCACAAGGAGAAAAGAGAAATAAGGTTGCAGAGAACTCAAATGAAAGATAAAATAGACCAAAGTAGAGACAGAAAGGTCATCTTTAAAGAGACCAAAGGACACATACGCCAACGCAAAAACTAGACCGTGGTATAAACACAGCCAGACAGAATGTACTTGTCAGAAAAAAAGGGCTGAGGCAGGGGAGGTACATATTTATTCAGCCCGTCGTAGGTGCCAAGACCTGTAATTGGCCAGTTATGCTAGAAATAATACTCTGAGGATATACACTGACACTGCCCTTCCAAACTGTCATGGGGCAGGGGTGCCAGGATGGCAGACTCTACAATGCTGAATAGACAATCCGGGCTACTGAGCTGCTGCTACGCCGTGAGTCATCCAGCCTACTCCCCTTCATCTGATTCCATGTCATCAGGTGACCTTCCGACTATCCTCTGGCTTCCCAAAAGTTGACAAGCAGTGTGCTCAACATAACTACAGAGCTACAGAAAATGAAGCAGTAGAGCAACGGAGGTTACTGCAGGCACAGACCGTCTGGGTGAATACACATAGACTAAGCTGTGAACAATTGTTACCTCATGAGGTGAGATCAGAAAGGACTCTCTGCTTACACATGTCCAAATTTGGGTTGGATTTTTAATAACCATACTACTTTTCTACTAGGAATAGGTACGATAATTCTTAAATAATGATTTGGCTTTACCCTAATACTAGCTAAGCTGACAAAAATCTTCTGGACTGAATGCCAGTTTAATAAATTAGCCTCCTGAGTTGATGCACTTGTCTTATAACTTTGGTTTACATGCATATACTATTAATAAAAGGATGCACTCTTAATGTACTAGCAAAATCAAGTTTCTGAGCCTCCAAAGCCCCAGGGCTTGGCGAATTCTAAGGACAATACTTGGTCAAGCCTCCTGACAGCCATTAGCTGGGCTTCCTTAGTCAAACCTGAACGACACCAAGGATTCTGCATTCAAATTCTCTAAGCAGAAAATATTAAAGAGCTATAATTTCAAATCCTTCTAGAGAACTTTCCCCAGCATTTCAGCATACAAATTACAGACAGCTCCAAGAACTGCAGACTGTCCTTGGCCAACCAGCTTTGGAGAAAAGAGGAAGGTTCTATCCCCACAACCAACACCCTCTCCAGCTGGCCCCCAGTCACCCGAGAGTATAGCCAACTGGTTATCTCCAAATGACTGTTGGGTCTGAGAATGCCAAATTGTCACGAAGTCCCCAAATCCAACCTCTAAGTAAATCCAACAACTAAAAATCAAGATATCAATTATTTAAGTCTGAAATGAAAAAGACAACACAGGGGACTCAAGCATCAAATTAACTGTTGGATTAGGAGGCTATCACAGTCCTTTCCAATCCTGAAATAGAGTGATTCCATAAACAGCAAAGGTTTTCAGGAGAAGCAGAATTAATGAAAACCAGTTAAAGGCCTAAAGTGATGAAAGAAAACTCACACAAAAAGACTAGAAACAGCCAAATAAGTGAGGAGGAACACTGAATCATCAAATTAATAGCCCTATAAATGACAGATACTAAACTTGCTCTTAAAAAAAAAACAACCAATAATAATGAATGTTAATGGACCAACTTTGAATAAATAAATGCTCTAAAAACATGAGCATCTGTAAATCTCCGTGCCCAATGAGTCATTAAAACATCCCACTTATAGAAGAAGCTACTTTGCCCATATCTAAAGCCAAGTCTCAAGCACAGACAGACCTCATTTATATCTTAACTGGTTTGTATCCAGTTCCGGCAACCTATCCTTCCCATCAGCCAGTCCTCTATGTGTCTCTTACAGCCACTTTTCTCATAAGATTAATTTTCATTAACCCCTTAAAAGCAACTACTTTTTACCCCCTCTCTCCACACCTCTATCCCACCCCCAGACCAGTTGGAGCTCTCTGTACTGCCCAAAGTAATGATTCTCAATTACAGGCTTCAAACAACTCCACACCTTCTAACAATATTGTTCCCATCCTCAGTAGATCTCGACTTCTCTGAAATCCAATTAAATTCTGTTTCTTTGCACAAAGTTGACCTCATACCAAACCAATCTTCTATTAGAACTACAGATATGATCACAAAGAAACAACCCATTATAAGATGGTACATTTAAGACTGGTTTACAAAATGAGCAGACAGGAGTCCATTGTAGAGTAAAAGTGCAAGCCCCTGATAGAATCCCTGCGCCAACAAACATGAGACAGAAGTCCCAGGCTCCATACTCGGAAGCTTCCCGTCCTGACAATACCATGGCTCCTTGGCCATAATGAGATACACCTTTGGCCTCCTGGTCTACTAATAATCCCCTGGGACATCTTATCGCTGTCTAGACACAATCTTTTGTGCTTTCGCACATGACCACTCCTCTATGCCTGATTTTTCTAACGATCACATTTATGAAAACTATCACAGTAACTGAATGGTATCAAAGGGAGAATAAAAAACAGAGAAACTAGAATTATAAATATGCAGATACAGAGGAAGACAGCAAAACACATGCACCACTGCCAAGAGTATCACAGGCTTTAGAAGAAGAAATCAAGGGAAAAACATCCTCTGTTCTGGTCCAATTGCTCTTTTTCTGCTAAGCATTTGTCTAGTAACTTCTCTCCCCTTAGGCTCAGACACTACCATCTGGCCCCAAAGGGGCTAATCCCAGTGTAGGCCCAACCTTCTAGAACAATGCTAATGGTGATAGGTTTGCTTATATGTTCCCGAAGTAAACAGAAAATCCTCTAGTGTGTCACTGTCAAGTAAGATATTGGCTGTTGATTCAAGACAGTGGATCTTCTTAAAGATGTATTTTTCACTTTTGTGCTTTAAAATGGCCTTTTAAAGGAAGAGACATTGAATTTTAAACGTTTTTTGAGCATAATATTGAGATACCGTCAGGGTTTTTCTTGCTGACTATGTATTTTAAACAGAAAAATTCTAGACTATCCAATAAGGAGGTAGGTCTGACTTTGATCCTGGGGTGTATGTCACCTCTAAGGCATCCAAGGACAATAGTGCAGTCTGTTCTGCCAAAAAAAAAAAAAATATGTTTTTTTGACATGCATTACCTCATACACCACTGGCAAACAGATGAATGATGTCATTATAATGGAGAAGTCACACTGGCTCACATGCAATTTTTCTCAGCATGTTAATGTTTCCAAGTAATCAGACTGAAGTTTTCTCATGATAATTAAAGAGAAAGCCTTAACAATATAAGAAGACCTTCAGTTGGGGGGGGGGTGGAGCTGAAAAATCTACAGAAGTGACTTACTTTTGTAAATGGCGGCTGATTCAGTGGCTTCAAAAATCATTACACTTTCCTTCTTTTAAGCTACCTGGCAAAACTGCAAATGCAGCTGAAGACGCCACAGAGACATCTCTCCCCGTATTAAAGCAATGGGTTAATTAAGAAGGCTATATCCTGGATCAGACTTTTAATTTTGATGAAAAGATCTCTATTAGAAGTAAATAGCCTCCAAGACCTACTTCTCAAAGAAGAGAGCAGAAGCCCCAGGGCTGAAGCCTACAAGAACTTTCTGATTGTGATACTGGGTGCAGACACCAGTAAACTGTGCTCGGTTTTGTTTTGTTTTGTTTTGTGTTTTTAGTACTTCTATTAGGGCTATACTTGGTTACAAAGTTCCTTAGTTTTAAGTGTTTTGTCCCAACTCTTATTTTTCCCACCAGCCCTGTTGTTTTCAGCACCTGAATTTGCACAACATGATTTATTCTATTTTTAAATTGTCACTGAGGTTTTACCCTTGCTCTGTTTTTGTTTTCTTGTATTTTCCAGGTTCACCTGCATGGGGTGGCAGAGAGACATCTGTATGGCTCACAGAACCATTGGGTCTAATGCAACCTGCTTATCACAGTGCAGCCCACCTGAGATATGAGATTTTTTTTTTAACCCCATCAGCTAATAGACACCAACTACCTGCCATCAAGGAATTTAAGACGCTTGATTTAAATATTGAGAAGTTTGAATCATTTTTCAGAGATGGAGCACCTACGGGGAGGGGAGGGGGTGTGCAAATTTCTGAAGTATGTTCACACGAAGGGGCTGGCCACTCAGGCTTCGCTGTCTGGTTTACAATGTACACCCATCACCAAACTCCTGAAGTTCTGCCCCCCAACCTGCTCCACCAGCGGCCTTCCCCTTCTCTGGAACCAGTAAAAGTTCCACCTGCTCAGGCGTACACGCTAAAGCCTGGTGGCCTCTGTTCCTCACATCGTATGTCCCATTCACCAAGAAATGCTGCTGTCTCAACCTTCCACACACGTCCAGAACCTGACCATGTCTCCTCACTGCTCCCACCATTCTCCCTCACCTGAATTACTGAAGTAGGTTTCCATCTGCTTTTATCCTTGTCCCCTCAACACTAGTTTCAATCAAATGAGGCCTTTTTCCTCAGAAGGCCAGATCACATTATTCCTGTGCTGTTAAGCCCACAATGTCTTCCAATCTCACTCAGAGCAAAAGCCAAAGTTTTCACAATGGCCCGCAACACCCTACGTGCTCTGGCACCCACCACCTGTGACCTATTCCCTTCCCTTCACACACTCCTCCAACCACTCTGGACTTGCAGCCCCTCCAGCCTCTCAGGCCTGCTCCCGTCTCCTGACTTTTGGAGATGTTCCTTCTGCTTTGAACACTCCTTTCCTAGGAAGTCAAGCTGGCTTGCTCTCTCATTTCCTTTAGGTTTTTGCTCACATGTCATCATCTCAGTGAGGCTTTTCCCAGGCACCATATTGTAAATGGCAAACACACACACACACAAACACACACACCCTATCTCCCTCCCCTAATTTACTTTTTTCCATAGCAGAATGTAACTTCATCCGCTAAACTGTATATTTTACTGATTTGTGTTCCCGTCTTGTCCACTAGGAAAGAAGCCTGGTGTTCTCTGCTGAATCCCCCGTACCTGGAATAGTCCCTGCTCAATAACTACTTGCTGAATGAATGAATCAGTGTCACTGCATGATGTGAAGGAAGTGACAAAGATGACTCAAGGTCACGGCCCTCATCATCACAAATTCAAGGAATACTTGAAAGACGGTGAACAGAGCACGTAAGTTTACCTTACTTTAATGCAGACATATGGCTCAGTCATGCAAACTTGTTCAAGAGATTTACTGAACTGCTTCCTCAGATCAAGAACACTTGAAATTAAAGGGTTTTGAGTAGCTTAACTTGTCAGACCCCCCAGCGACTCACAAGATTGTTCTTCTGTGATGTGACAAGACATCTCAACACACCAAAGACTGTGGTGGGGGAAGGGGGCGTGTCAGAGCACTGCTGATATGACCAAGAAAATACAAGTGTTCTGACTGAAACTAGACATGTGAACAAGCAACTGGAGACTGCACGCATTTTCCATAGCAGATGAGCCTCCACACTCATCGGAATTAATGAATTTTAAAAAATAGAGAAACGTGTAACTCAACTTCAAAAGAAATTCACAAAAAAAAAATCACACTTTGGGTATTTTTGGTTGCCTCTGAAGGTCATCCCTCGAGGACAGGCCTGAATCACCAGGCATTTTTGTCCCACTGGGACGGCTCACATTTTCATGAAGAAAATGCAAAAGGGCTGAAAATAAAACCCAACCAACAAAAAGCCAATTTTCATGACATTCTGGAGATGAATTCACAAAGCTTAGAACAACCCTAAAACTTTTCACATGTACTCAATGCAGATCTGTTTTCTACCCGTGATGCTATGAAAATGTATTCTTCTTCAGGAAAGGGCTGAAATCATCACTGGAGCTACCATCTGTGATATCAACCTAGAATCATAACAAATTGAAATATGCCTAACTATCCACCTATAATTGCAGAATATGGTAGAGTTTTTTTTCCATTTTTTTCAAACTTTCTTCTTTTTTTTAATTTTTAATTTTTTTTTAATTTGGTGGGGGAAACTAATTAGGTTTTTTTCTTTTCATTTCTTTCTTTATTTTTAGTGGAGGTGCCGGGGATGAACCCAAGACTTTGTACACACTAGGCACACACTCTACCACTGAGCTATACTCTCCACGTCTTATGGTTGTTTCTTAGGAGCCATTTGCCTATCAACAGATCACGAATGCTATATGAGTAGCTCCAGGCCTGCACTTCCAGGGTTAACAAGTTTATCAAATTATTTCTCAAACTGACTTTGAATTAATTCTGAAATCTTAATATTATAGATCTGTTTTATACCGTTATTGTTAATTTAAACTTCATGTGGGCCTACATGTGTGGATTTCAAATTATGTAATTCATTACTTTAAAAGAATATGTACTTACTTTTCAGGAGGGACAAGGGAGTGAAATATAAGGAATGCCTGACAAACTGTCACAGACTGAAGAGGTTAACTAAGGAAATATGATGGCTAAATGCAATGTGGAATCCTGGACTGAACCCTGGGATAGAAAAAGGACAACTGTGGAAAAATAAGGAAAACCTGAATAAAGGCTATAGTTTAGTTAATTTCTTAGTTTTGATAAACACACCATATCACATAAGATGTTAACATTAGAAGAAGGTGGATGAAGGGTACACAGGAACGTTTTATACCCTTTGCAACTCTTCTGTAAACCTAAAATTTCGAAATAAAAATTTTAAAGGTGCTAATTCTAGAAATACAACAAAATTTTGTTCATTTTAGGGTGACCTATTTAAAAAAAAGCCAATGTCACAAAGTTGGTTTTATTTATCAGTAGAGAAAAAAGAAAGGCCGCAGAAATCTGGAATTTCAGCTACTCTCAATATGCAAATTATCAAAAACAGACACACCAAACAACAAAAAAGCTTCCACTGCTCTGTCACAACAAAATATAATTACTCAAAAACAAATAAAGGAAAACCACTTCACCATAATGACAATGATCACAATTATAGAGACTTGAACTGATAGTTAATATTAGAATAAACCATTATTTCAACTAACACTGGGTATGAAGGACGTTTTAAATTTGGAAGGGACTTAAAGCATATAGTGGTTGTTTCTATGTGCTAGAATTATAAAAGATTATCTTACTCTTTAAGCTTTCCTCTACAATGGGCATATAAAGATTTATAACCTGAAAACAAGCATAATACATTTTGGTATTTGTCCACGTGATATTAAGGTAAAATGATAGGAAGTTTTTTCTGTTCCTGCAAGCTCTCACACTTTTGCTCCCCTTTTGTCCCCTTCCACCTGCACTGATTTGGACTCCAATCAGTTCTCCCCTCGTCCACTGCATCATCAGTCTCCCTGTACCCCTCCACTGTTCTTCAGTCTATTTTTCCCAGTCTTATAAGTCATTTTCCTAAAATTCAGGTTACAACACATCACTTTTCTGTCAAAACAAAACAACAAAAATTCTAGTGACTCTACTTATTGTCTAAAAAAGAGAAGATAATATTCTAAGGGTAAAATGATTCAGTGAAGCCATAATTTCAAATCTACCTTTCAAGGCTCGGCACACTATGACCCATCAGATGTAGTCTGGAAAAGACTAAAAATCTCTTCAAACTCAATACCCATCATCAAGCTACCTCCAAGCCTTTGTTCATGCCCTTCTCACTCACGAAATTACTTACCTTAGAGAACATTTGCTGAGTGTTTATTATGTGCTAGGCACAATGCTAAGAGATTTACATGCAATTTTTTCCTATAGTGTTCTGCCCAACCCCCAGGGGTAAGTGCTACTAAATGAAGAAAAGTCAGAGCTATTAGCTAATTTTTCTAAAGTTACCTGGCTAGTAAGTGCAGTAAGAACTCGAATCCCAACCTCTCCAAGTTCCAAAGTCCGAACTCTGAACACAATCTTCTTGCCAACTTCTATAATTCTATCAAGTCCCAGAACAAGTGCTAACTGCTACTACCATCCCTAATTCCTCATGCTGGAAGTGATCATCTTTTCCATGAACCCACACAACTATTTAATTTCCTTTTATAGATCTTATTTCATCCTGCCTTGTATGTAGGAAAAAATACTTATGTCTGTAAGACCCATTAGATTCAAGAGCTTTGGAAATAGGAACAGCTAAGTTAGTGTCCTTCAAACTTGGACTCACGATAATGCCATGGTGTAGCAGAACTCAGTAAATACCTGTCAAAGAAGGAAATCATGTTCAGAGAAACTCAGTCTTTTGCTTAGTTCTCTTAGTTGTTCACACACACACACACACACAAACATTTGAACTATAGATACCAAGAATTTCACAGAGTACAAAGAACACAGGCTTTGATGCTTCACAAACCTATCTACAAATCCTCACAACTACAAAGAAGCTACTATCTGATCATGGGGCAACTCACTTAACCAATGTGTCCTTAATTCCGCATCTGTAACATTGTGAGACCAACAATAATATACGTAAAGTACATAGCACTATATATAGCAAAGTAAACTCATGATAAATAGTTAAGTGTTTCTTAGAACTTGTTTCATGCCCAGAATGACAAGACCTCATCTCTTTAAAAAAGGTCAATATTTTTAAACGTAGATGACATGAAACACTTACATAACAATGCTCAGGATAGTATACACTTAAGAGATCAGAGATGGGCCAAAAAGAAAGGGTTCTTGAAAGAAAGGAATATGAACTGGGTCATCAGGACGGGATTTAGACAGAGGGAGAAAAATTCTGAACAAGAACACCCTAAGTGAAAGCAGTGAGGCCAGAGCAAAGAAGCTTATTCGAAAAGTATGCCTCCAGTACAGTTCTTGCTCAGTGGACAAATGCCAGATGAATAAACTGAGGGCAGAGTTCACAGTGAACTTTGAATCTAATGCTGGTATAGAAGATATACTGCTAAACAGATTAAAAGTGGGAAAGGAGACGCTTCCTACGGCTTATAGGAAAACATGCCGTGAAATGAAAATTAGTGGTTTATCTAATGAATGCATGAGTAAGAGTCTGCTGTAATGAGCATAAGCCAAATCTTACTAGTAGGCATATGCTTTGCTTTTTTTTTTAATTAGTTTTATTCACTATTTTTATCTCTAACATCTATCTCAGTATTCCCACCCAACCTTGTCTTTTAGCACTGTCAAACATTTGTATGCAAGAGAAACAACTTAGTTTAACTATCGTATTCATTCACACGTGACTGTGGGTGTGGATACAGGGCTGAGAATTCCCCACAACTTAAAAATGCTGTTTGATTCTGAAGACCAGCAGAACCAGGAAAAGAAGTTTATTATTAATATTACTAAGAACAAAAAATTTAGGCACATTCTATGGAGGGAAAAACGAAGCAATGCCAAGCTGGTTAATGAACTATGATATTGACATGTACAATGGTATGAGCTATCAGCGCTCTGTGACAGCATGTAAAGAATCAGAAAATATACACAGAACATAACACTTTTTCAAAATGGACTCAGATCTTCAAGACTCCTATTGCTTGAATGAAATTCACTCAGTTGCAATTTTACACAAACCATCCACCATAAAATGGTATAAGAGCCCAGTATCCTGAGTTTACATATGGATTTTTCAAATCAGTGGGCACCTGTTCAATCAGAACTGAAAGAATGAAAAAGGAAAAATGTAGCTGACAAGTATTAATGAAAGCAGAGTGTCCAGTATTAACCACATGGACAATAAAGGAGTAACACCTCTAATTCATCAACACTGTACGTCCTAGAAGTAAATTTTGAGTAATCCTTACTCTAACCAAACTTATCAGTCAACAGGGAATAGTTTATGCCAAATGGAGAAGGCCCTTTTGAAAATTACAACGTCACTGTTGAAAACATAGGAAAGAAAATTTAAAACTAAGTACGTTGAATGGAATTACTGTACTTTAATACAATAGTAAATGTGGTATAAAATAAAATAGAAATGTTTTATTACCTAGTTTCATTAATGTCACAAGAAAGACCAGAGGCTTTGAATTTGCCTATATCCCTTAGCAGGTGGGAAAAGTATACTTTCAGCACAAGTACTAGCCAATGCTGCACAAGTTGCATGTTTTTCAATTGGTCCATAGATCATTAATGGGATCTGGGCTGCCTGAAAGAAACAGAGGAAAGAAAATAACCTAAGACCTGTGTTCTAATTCCTGGTCATTTGCTTACCAGCTAAATCATTTTAGACTTTTAACTTCTATCAATTGGTTTTCTCATCTGCAAATAGGATAGTTATATCTAACACAGGACAGTTAATGGTGTCTCCAGATTTTCTTCTTTGAAGGACGTAAAGTGTCCCCACAAAAAAACAGGCAGCTCACATGGGAAAAAAAGGGTATGTAATGTTTCACACAAAACAGTATTAAAACAGACCCAACCTATGTTACGTAAAGGAGCTTTGCAATAAAATTTTTTAAAAATAAAAAATAAACAAACAAACAAACAAAAAAAAAACAGGCAGCTCTCTGTCTGGAAGAAGGTGCCTGAAGATGCCTCTCCATAGCACTACAATGAAAATTATGAAAACATTAACTATCTTGTCACAAGTGGGGACTTGATGGAGACACTGAGGAAACTAAAATACTCCTGAAGTCTCTCCTTGATGCCAGCACTGCCTGGTATAGTGATCACACATTATACACAGGAACAGCGATGGGGGAGATGCCAAGAAGACAAAAATGAATATCCACAGTGCAAATTCATATAAGGTATGCAATAAAAAAATGTAAGTCCTTTTATTAGATTAATTCCATAGAAAAAGTATGGCCTTCCAGATTCCTGAGAAAATTAAATTCTCTTATCACAACTCAATTCAACTCAACAATGAACACCTACTATGTACAAGCTAGTATATAGGTGCTGTTGAAGACAGGAAAAATTTTAAAGTACTTCACCTCCAACTAACCAATACATAAAAAGAAAATAATAATTCCTACACTAGAAATTCAAAAATGAGACAAGAGTGCAGACGCTCCATTACCCTGAGCCTAGCATTTAAGGTCACAATCCGCCTTTCAGCCAGATCTCACACTATGGATAAACACATACTCCAGTCATCCCAAACCACTTTTGACAAACATACTGTGCTTTAATAAGCTTCTGTGCTTTTGCTCACGCCATTCCTACAGGCAAGAGCTTCTTTACCTAAGTCCCACTGAAGTTATTATTCATCCTCAAGACCAAATTCCATTCCTTTTGCTTCATGAAGCCTTTCCCACACCCAGATGGAACTAAGGGAGGTGATTCAAACAACAAACGGCATCAGGAAGCACTGAGAAAGAAGGAAAAGAATGAAAAATCTGCACCAGAGGAGCTAGAAGATAATTCTAAGGCTAAGAATTTGTCAGACTCTAGAAAACCTTCATCCCATGCTACAGAGAAAATTAACAAGTCTAACAAGATCTGGCAGGAGGAACCCAAGAGGTAAGAGAAAGCTGTCAAGACTGTGGGATAACAACAACAATCCTAGCAGCAGAAACCTGAGAAATGTAACTAGGGATTATGAAACCTAAGGCCCTAAGGCCACAGTTGGTATTTTCAACTATAATTCCACAAGGAGTAAGAAGCATACGAAAAGTTAACCACTGGTTACACAAATGGCATCAAAAAACAGAATTTAATTTTTTATAGTCTTAAGACACAGTAAAGATTAAACACTTAACTCTACCAGAGGGCACCTGATTAAGTCTAGAAGAATGCCCTTGCCCAGAAACTGGCCTATCTCATCAGAAGTTCTCAATAGAGGGCCCTGAACTAAAAATGGAGGGGTAGAAGAAATGATGTAAACTGAAACTATACGGCATGGTTCATTTAACAAACACTGATTGACCATCCATCTCCTAGGTGCCAGGCCCAAGCACAACACCGGGGATACAGCAGTCAACAAGGCAGACGAGTCCCTGCTTATGGAGTTTATGAAGGGGGAAAGTCAATAAAAATAGGTTACTGATTTCAGCTGATGACCAGTTTAAAGAAAAACAGAGCCAAGTAAAGACATAGAAAATGACAGGGTTGAGCTAGAAGGACTGTTCCAGAACCGAGGGAGCAAGTCAGATAGATCTGAGGGTAGAGCCAGAGAGAAGAGGAAGGCGCTGACAAGGACGTGTCTTGGAACAATGAACTGGGCCAGAACAGAATGAATTAAAACACGGTAAGAGGGGAGGAGAAGCAATAAGCAGAGTCGGATAAAGGTAGAGAGGAAGTCTGGATGTAAGTGTGAGGGAAGTTACTGGAGGGCTCTAAGGGCAGAGAGATGGGATCTGAGTTAGCTTTTTGATCACTCAGGCTGCTGTGTGGAGAAAGGACTGCAGGCACGAAGCACAAGATGGTGGTGACTTGGACTAGGTTGGCGACAGCAAAGTGGGCGCATGTTAGATACGACATACAAATAAAGACTAGAGGCAGCTGTAGGAAACAATTTTAGAAAAAGGGAAGTGTCCAGTGTCAATATAACATGTGCACAGGGTGTGTCATGCACAAAACTTGACTGTTAGCACTTCTTTAATTCTCTCCTGCCCACTGGGTGGTGAGCTCCCTGAGAACAGGGGCTGTCTTCTCCGTGGCTTTATCTCCAAATCCCAACGCAATGCTGGGATCACCAGCAAGTATCATGAAAAGACTTTTTTCAATAAATCTGGACACTTTAAATACAAGAAAGTACAGCGCAGGGAGAGTATAGCTCAGTGGTAGAGCACATGCTTATTAGCATACACAAGGTCCTGGGTTCAGTCCCCGGTACCTCCATTAAAAAATAAATAAATAAATAAACCTAATTACCTCCTCTCCCCTCAATCAACGTACAACCTTATAGGTAACATCAAAATTTAGCAGGATGAGACACAACACTGGTCTGTAAACACTGAAGCCTTAATAGGGAAATAGGTGAGAAAATTCAGAAAGAACTCTACAGTTTCAAATAAACAAGCTTACCCAACATTTGGACCCAATAGGGACCCAAAAGACCCAAATTACTGACTGTCTTCTACATGTTAGACCAGCCAGTACTCTGAGAACACAGAGGGGTGAGACACTGCCTCTCCTGTCTCCCAGGGAAGAGTTCACACCCTGATGGTGCAGACAAGTTACATGCCCTCTGCAATGGCAGAGAACAAGAATGCACAGTAAGAAACATGTTAGCATCCCTGTTTTTAGAAAAGGGAAGAAAGTGAACACCACAAACTTTGCAACTGAGCTTAATTAAAACTCTAGGTAAAATCCGAGAACCGACTGTCAAAGGAGAGTTTGTGGGACTTAGAAAAGAAAGAGGTGAATAATTAGAACCAGCACATGTACCTGCGTAAGCCATTCCTGGCTCATGTCATGACCTTGGTTTGATAGTTAGGAGAATGGTGATTGGGAAACACATGATATAGCTGAGTTTTATTAAAATGTATTGATCTCATCACTAATACTATCTCTGGGGGTAAAATGGGGGGAAATGGACTAAAATAAAGATCAAGAATATTTGGAACTGCTAGAATGGCCTTGAAAAAAGAGCTGACCAAGTAAAGAGAGGTCCTGAAAAGAAATTAAAAATATTTTTAACAAATAAAATAAAATGATAAATAAGACCAAGGCCAAAAGATAATGACACTAGGGCTTCCAGCCAGACCGTACTATAACGAACTCCACACATCAACAAGCCATTCCCTAAATGAATGTGAAGACATAACTGGCCTACTGACCAAACTATCAGATTACAAAAACTCGAGAAAGCAATAGCAAACACAAATACATAATAAAGTCAGAATTCCAAATGCTCATGACAATCTGCCAAACTGGGCAAAAATCAACAGCTTTGTATTTCCAAGGGAAATTCAAGTTTTGTATTTATCTTTTTTAAATCCAACATTACAAGAACATCAGGTCAGGTAGGGTGCTGGGAGAAGATGACAGAGCTTTTGGTGGACTACAAGGTAATATAAGTGAGGTTGTTGAAAAGGCTAATTCAACCTCAGGTAATACTAAGAATCCAGAAGAACTGACTACACCTAGTTTAGTGAGTTCCTTTCTGTGCACCACACTTCAGTGAAACTGTTAAACTAGAATTCACTCATACAGATGAAAGAGACTTGGATGGTACTTCCAGTAAATGCTGACTAACTGAACATATGCATTTAACGCTGCTCCCTCCCTAAACGATACTAAAATGACAGTGAGGGATTTAAAATATTTGGAACTAGGAAGCCGGTAGGAGAGAGATAACTGACCCAGCAGACTGCAAGAAGCTATTTCTGAGTCAACAGTGAGAAAAGCCAGGAGGCAAACCAATTTATGCCACAAAACTCCCCCAAATTTCAGGAATTAGTGGTATATGATATCTCTGGAACTTGAGGTAAGAGTAGGGCTACAAATGGGAGGATTCATGAAAGGCTACTTAAGGGCAGTGAGACCCTCTCTGCAGGTGGGTAACTAATTGCTCTTTTACCCAGAAAAGTTGTGGGCAGGGGTATCACACAGAAAACCAAAGGACTAAGGGGAAGTTTACATATTAAATACTGAGACCAACTCCCTCTCCAATGTTCTTTCCCTGCTTGGATCCCAGAACTCTAGCAGCCAGACGAATACCCTCCAGGAGAATAGATGAGACTTCTTTGGGAAAATCTGACCAGTCCAAGAGAAAAGACCAAAAGATATTGACGCTGGGTGTTTCTCAAGGAAATTCAGGCCAGCCTGACCACTCTACAGTGAATCCACAAACAACTGTCCTATTCCCAAATGAATACAATGCTTTCAAACAACCTTTTGGAGCCCCACACTTAAATAATGAACAGATGGCTAAGATCACCAGACATTTAAGGAAACTTTTAACATGAATGCAGAGATAAACAAGGAAAAAACTCAGCTGGAAGAAACATGATGCAGATACAGGGAGAAGAGAACTTAAAACAAATGCACACACATACGCACAGAGGGATAAAAACAGATGATGCAAAAATAAAAAAGAATACTAAAGAGTACAAAATAAAATACCATAGGAAATTAAGAACTCATAGCAGAAATAAAAATGCAATAGAAATCTGAAAGATAAAATTGAGGAAATCTACCAGAATACGGAGTAGAAGACAAGGAGTTCAGAAATGAAAGATAAGAAAAGTAAGGAACAGGGGAAACAGATGGGAAAGAATCAAGGAAAGAACTCAGGAAAATTTTTCCCAACTGCAAAATGCAAATTTCTAGACTGAAAGACACCTCTCCCACCATCCCCCAGGTGTCCATCATAATGAGATCCACAAAAGGCACATCACTGAAAAATGTCAGAACATAGGCCACAAGGAAGATCCTAAAAGGTTCCAGAGAGAATGTA